AGGGGGGAAAAGTCATCTTCTGTTTGATTAGTCTTTCTTCGATAATTAAGATTTAGTCCATGCTCCCTGCGAGATTATTTTTTTAAATGTCATCAAATGTTAGAAGCCCTATTATAAATCATTACCTCATTTTCAGTCAGTTCTTGACATCTCTCTGCTCTCCATAATTAACATGTCATGGAATGCCCCTTTAAGCTAGTTGGCTATGAAGCTGAGAAAATGAACGGAACCCCTCCCCCCCCCCACTGATGTGCAGGAACAATGGCCTGGCTTGTCACAAGCACAAACCTCTCTCCTGCCACTGCTGCAGCTGAGGGCCGAGTAGTCTGCAGGTGTGTTCTTTGTTGTATTTGGATACAAGGAAGGAAAAAGGACTCTAGTGTTTCTCAAAGTAGTCTGGCAACTGGCTCTGAGAGAGCTGCTACCAGGCCGCTCCCGTTGATTTACTTACTGGCTCCGCCTCCACAGAGCCTCGTGGCTCCTATTGGCTGTGTCCACAGGAAGTAGCATTACCCAGGCTGTTGTCCCACAGAGTCTCTGGATTATTATACTGGTGTAGCTGAGTGTCAGTCAGTCGTCTTCTCTTGTACTTGACAACAAACTACCACTTGACTTTATAATGCCTTTCACGCATACTGCATTATTCTAATGTGCTTTGCAGAGTCAAACTAACCTCAAACTCCAGGTTACAATAATCATAGAGGGAGTGGAAAATAACAGAGGAAAATATGCCTCCGAGGGAAATGGGAAAATAGATGAATTGATAAAGCGGAGATAAAGGATGCTTAATGTCGGTCTGAGTTGTACAGCGAGGACACGGAAGTGCTAAAAGACAAGATAAAAATAATTGAAAATGTGTTGATAGAAACAGCAAAAAAAATCCTTCGAAATTCAGCTTCTGAACCTGCATTTTCAGATTTGGATGAGGTTCTCTTCCTAATACTTTCCAAATCAGGGCTACTCAACACGTGGCCGCATGCAGCCCGTGGCCTGTTTGTTTGCAGCCTGCAGTGTGGTTTGGGTTTATGTGGGGCTCAACACGCAGCCCACGGGTAGGAGCCAAAACAAAAAAGTAGTCAATATAATAATCTTCTGTTGACATACATTTTAGTAGTTAAATTCCTGGACTGCCATTGCTCCTTAAAAGTGTGGATGTACGGATGGAAATTGGGTAAATATTGCATTTTATTAATATCAGCAGAACTGACTTAAATGGGACCTGTGTGTTGTGTAGTCTTGCCTTAATCTTTGTATTCATGCACGTCAGTGTGAAAGAAGCTATTTGCATATATTTGCATGTATATGCAACCACACTTAAGTTGCGGCCCTTGGCATGTGCTGTGAGTATCATTGTGGCCTCTGGGGCTTCCAAAGTTGAGTAGCCCTGCTTTAAATTATGGTTCTGCCCTATGAAACTGCATAAAAATGGGAGCTTCTTACTCACCTGATAGGCTTTCTGTGTGTATTCAGAGTCATAACTGTCTATTAGTTTTAAAACACAACGAGTAGTCCTGTAGCACCTTAGAAGCTACCAGAAATATATAGAATCACGAGCTTTTGTGGGTAAAACCCACTTCACCAGATGAGTTAAACTCATGACAGCTCATCATGATCCTTTATATTTATGTTAGTCTCAGGGGGTGTGTCTAGACTGCAGGGTTTTGTGACAAAAGTGGACTTTTGTCAACAAAACTATACCTGCGTCCACACTGCCTTTGAGTTATGTCGACATAACGTCGACAAAACTCAGCAGTTTTGTCGACATATGTAAACCTCATTCTATGAGGAATAACGCCTTTTGTTGACAGAGTTCTGTCAATAGAAGACATTATTGCATCTACGCTGTCCTTTGTGTCCACACTTTTATGTCGACAAAGCAGCTTGCTTTGTTGACAGAACTGGCTGTAGTCTAGACGCTCTTTGTCAACAGAAGCTTTGTCGACAGTATCTGTCTACAAAACTTCTGTCGACAAAACCCTGTAGTCTAGACGTACCCTAAGGGTATGTCTAGACTACATGCCTCTGGCGACAGAACCAGGTAGATTAGGCTACCCGGCATAGGGAAGTGAAGCGGCAATTTAAATAATCACCGCTTCATTTAAATTTAAATGGCTGCTGTGCTGTGCCGATTAGCTGTTTGTCGGCTCAGCGCGCTAGTCTGGGCGCTCCACGGTCGACATCAAAGGCATTTGTCGACCTCCCTGTTATGCCTTGTGGGATGAGGTTTACCGGGGAGGTCGACAATGCCTTTGATGTATACAGGCTGTGCTGACGATCAGCTGAGCCGGCACAGCGCGGCGGCCATTTTTATTTGAATGAAGCCGGGGATATTTAAATCCCCGCTTTATTGACTATGTCGGGTAGCCTATTTTGTATGCCTCTGACGGCAGAGGCATGTAGTCTGGACATACCCTAAGGTGCCACAGGGCCACTCGTTTTGATAGTTACAGCTAACCCAGCTACCCCTCTGAGACGTGTTTTATTACGGTCAGCATTTCTGCACCAATACAGCCATGCGAGTGCTGGATTCCTTGCTGGCTCATATGTAAAAGATAGTATTATAAACTGATCCAAGGCTCATGGGCTAAGTTTGAGATCTCAGCAAATACACAGTTTAAGAAATGGCTTTGTACATTTGTTCAGGAATACAATGACAAAATAACGGTTAATGCATGAGAGCAATTAGAGGTTTGCAAGAAATAAAGAGCTGAAAGAATAAACGAAAGAAATTAACATTTACTATACAGAGATGGGTGTTGGACATACACAGAAAGAGGCCATGAAGTTACAAAACCTATAGCCAGTCCTTCAGTTGATGTGAATCCATGTAGCGATCTTGAAGTCAACGGATATACCCTGAAATATATAAGCCGAGGATAGATACACACTGGCCTGTAGGTGAAATCCATCCTTGCTAGGTATCCGGTTTTCTCCCGGACAGCCCATTATTTCTGGCCCCTGTCCGATAAAGAAAAAACCGGACATGTAAAATGTCCGGTATTTTCTGTTTTTCTTGGATGGAAGGCCGGTGGAGACATTCTTCCCCTGCCACGTCTGGTGGAGGCGGGGAGAGCAAGAAGCACGGGATTCTTAAAGGCGCAGCAACTTTTTTGTTCTGTGGGTTTGGTTTGAGTTTTTTTGCTCAACAATTTTTGTCTTTTTTTTTTCTCAACCAAGTTTTTTTCCTGCTGTGTTTGGGAATTTTGGTGAAAGCATCCGGCAAGCCTAATCCCTGGTGTAAGCACAGTGAAGACAATGGAATTACATTGTGCATAAATTTGATCCAGTGTACCTAGGGTAGCATTAAGCAGCAATTTGAGGATGGCTGTGCCCTTGCAAAGTCCTGTTTATAGTAGTTAGCCCCTATGCAACCGTTTGCTGGATTTGGACTTGAATAGTTCCCGATAATAAAGAAGACTTGTAATGAAAGAGCTTGAGAAGCAACAGTAAATTGTATTTTCTGGGTGAATTATCAAAGTGATGGAGTCTGGAAAGCCAGTTAAAAGAAGTTTTAACCAAAGAACGCAACCTGACACCAAAAGAGCCCTATTAAGTATGATTGCTTGGCACAGCATCCAGTAAATGTATCCCACTGCATGAGACACATACAGGCATCTTAATCAGTGCCTGCAAACAGCCTTGGGTCGTTGTCTTCAAAGTAAAATTATAAATGATGTGGCTTGTCGCATCTCATCTTTAGTTTAGATGTAACTTGGAGTGTGCGCTCCGCTCCAGCCCTGAGAGCATTAGCAAGGTACTGGGAGGCCAGTGAGGTCCCTGGGCAGGCCCGTATTCAGGAATTTCGGGGGGGGGAGGGAGGTGAGCCGTGGGAGGGGCTGTTGTCTGTCCCACCCCCATGGTTCAGCCCTGCCCCATGCCTCGCTCCTGGGAGAGGGGGAGGGGAGAAATCATCCCCAGCCTTCTCCCTGCCCACCAGAGCATGGGGGAGGGAGGCTGGTGCAATGTGTCGCCCCAGCCTCACTCACTCACACACATAGAATCATAGGACTGGAAGGGACCTCGAGAGGTCATTGAGTCCAGCCCCCCCGCCCTCAAGGCAGGACCAAGCTCCGTCTACACACACACACACACACACACACATGCCTTCCTGGTATCACCTCAGACAAGAAGCCTGTCTGGAGAAGGGCCACCCCAGCTCTCTACAGCCAGGGAGCTGAGAACAGATGGTAGCTAGAGGGGAAGGACGTTACAGTCACTCTGAGTTGAAGGAGGGTGCCAGGGAGAAGGAGGAAATCCAGGAGGAAAGTGAGTCCAGGGATCCTGCCCTGAAGTAAGAGACTAGGAGGGAATGAAGTAGCCACAAGGAGTAGAAAAACCTCCGTTGGCCAGAAGAAAGGAAGGATAGAAAGGATGCAACCCAGGGAAACAGCCGAAGGACGGGGACTGAGAAGACCTAGGCTTCTGGTTACAGGGTCACTGGGCGGGAGCCTGATACGATGGGTTCCTCTCCCAGCCACAGGTGTAGAAGCCCAGAGACCAGAACCAGAGCTGAATACAGCCTGGAGACAGCGTGAGCTCTAAGGAGGAGGAAGCTATAAAAACAGGGTGACTGCAAAGTTCACAGGGTAGCGGAAGAAGCACCTCGTGCCAGTAACAGACCGTTAGAAGAGGTGCCTAGGGGAGGTTTACAGGGTGGGTTGCAATCAGATGCTGACATGCATTTTCTCTAATTACACAGCTCTCAACTGGTTTTTCAGGTCAAGTGGCTAAAGTAAGAACACTTGTTATTTATAAAAGAGCTAGCATCTGGATAGAATGGGATAGAGCTAAAAATGCACTCTCCAAATCACATTGTTTTGTTTTTACAGAAAACTCAAATCTATTGAAAACCTTCCGTTGCGGTTAATTGCGACAGATGATTGACAGTGGCTTAAAAATAAAGATTTTTTTAAAATTGATCTACTGCATATCACAGGTTGCCTCTCTCTACCTTGAAAACTATCTCTGTATTAATATTTGTTTTATTGTTTTCCTTTCAGTTGATGGTTGCATTGACTGGTCAGTGGATCTCAAGACATACATGGCTTTGGCAGGTGAACCAGTCCGAGTGAAATGTGCCCTTTTCTACAGCTATATCAGGACTAATTATAGCATGGCCCAAAGCACAGGTCTTAGGCTTATGTGGTACAAAAACAAAGGAGATTTAGAAGAACCCATTATATTTTCAGAAGTTAGGATGAGCAAGGATGAAGATTCGATATGGTTTCATTCGGCTGAGTTGGAAGACAGTGGATTCTACACATGTGTTTTAAGGTGGGTATTGTTAAAATATAACAGTTTATTTCTATAATGTGTCTTATTTAAGGCAGCGCTTAAAGTCAGCTATTTCAGGAATGAATGTTGGTACCTATTACTATATACCCACTATCTTTCTTTTCCTCTTTGTTTTTCAGATTATTGCATTGTCTTGAAATTGCAATTTCTCAAATAAGTGTGATTATACCAATAGCTATGGTTAAGTGTCTTCACTTCCCTCAATGAGACCTATTTTCAAAGCTTTCCAAGTGACCCCCTACACGGGGAAAAAAAAGTGGCAGCTCAGTTCTCCAGATTTAAACCAAAACCAAACGTCTTCATCAGATAACGCTGTCTGGCAAATCAAGAGCTATCCCTTAGAAGTGACGGCAACCCCACATACTTTTATGTATTGCTTAGCAGCTCATGACCTGCTCTGCATGGCTCAGACAGGATGGGACCGGGCAGTCCAAGGGCGGTTTGGTTTCGACACGTGTCTGTTCTAGAGTGCAGCAAGAGATGCTCGTAGAAAGTTGCGTGTGTCTCCGGAGGTCTGGATTCCGCACGGCACGTAAGCGTGTGCTCGCCTGCTAATCAAGGGGGACCTCACCAGGCACTCTGAGTTGCGCGTGTTTTTAAAAGCTGAGGAGGGCTGGTTTGTTGATTGGGGGCCTTCCCTTGCACAGCGGCGTGTGTCTTATACATCTGTTTCTAGGCTTCCGCAGCGGGTCTCATAGGCCAAAGGAGGCTGAGCCTCCCCACCCAGCCAGGTGTGGCCCTGCCCACGTTTCATCCTCTCCTGCTTCCCGCTCAGCAGGCGGCTCCTCTTCCATGCCATCATGGCACTTCAGGCCCCTCCTGCCTTGCTGTGGCTATGCTGCCTGCCTTTTCTCCCTCAGGCAGAGGGGGGGGGGGGGGGGGGCGTGCTTCCCAGCCTCATCCCCCTCCCCTGGTTCTCTAGTGAGCGTGCTGGTCTGGGCCTACTGGTAATAATGGGGAGGCTGGCAGAGGGCAGGGGCCAACAACCACAGTAGGGGCTGGGCTCTGGTTGGCATGGAAGCGGCTAAGTCTCGGGTGGATAGGGCACAGCTGAGGTACTATTGCCCAAGTCTCCGCCCGCGTTTATAGGGCACACTAGCCAGACGCTTGGATGTTTTTAAGATGCATAAATGTTCCTTTTGCTGATTCTGCTCTGAAATACAAAGGAGTCGGCGAACACTGTGGGGCTACATCTACACTGGCCAGTCTTGTACAAGAACATATGCAAATGAGCCACCATTTTGCGCAAGGGGCTTTTGTGCAAAATGGCGGCTCATTAAGTATGCAAACGCGGTGCTGTGATATTCATCGCCACGCCTCATTTGCGTATGGTCTTGTGCAAGACTGGCCAGTGTAGACACAGCCTGGGTGTTTTGTTTTGTTTTTTAAACATTGCACTGTGCTCACTCCAAAGGCAGACCAATAGAAATGCCTCTGGTCCATGCGGCGGAGGGGTCACTGCCTCTCAGGTCCTCTGCTGCCTTGGAGGTGCTCAGCAGAATCTTTCTGTTCAAGATGAACAACTGGTGGCCGGTTGGAAAATGTCCGTTGAAGCTTTTTTCGATGGATTGGATTGGAAAAGGTTCAGAAAAGGGCAACAAAAATGGTGAGGGGTTTGGAATGGGTCCCATATGAAGAGAGATTAAAAAGACTTGGACCTTCCAGTTTAGGAAAGAGGAGATTGATGGGGGATATGATAGAAATCTATAAAATCATGACTAGTATGGGAAAAGTGACTAAGGAAAAGTTATTTATTTATTCCTACAATATAAGAACTAGGGGTCACCAAACAAAATTAATAGGCAGCAGGTTTAAAACAAACAAAAGGAAGTTTTTCTTCATGCAGCGCACAGTTAACCAGTGGAACTCCTTGCCAGAGGATGTGGTGAAGGCTAGGACTTTAACAGGGTTCAAAAAAGAGCTAGATAGAATCACGGAGGTTAGGTCCATCAATGGCTATTGGCCAGGATGTGTATGAATGGTGTCCCTAGCCTCTGTTTGTCTGGAAATGGGTGACAGGGGAGGGATTACATGAGGATTACCTGTTGTGTTCCCTCCCTCTGGGGCCCCTGGTATTGTCCACTGTCATCAGACGGGATACTGGGCTAGATGGATCAATGGTCTGACCCAGTCTGGCCATTCTTATGTTCCTATGATGCTTGGGATGTCAACAAAATAGAGATGTTGGTGGAAGGTGTCTGCTTTCCATAGGAAAACTGGAATTTTAAACAGAATATTATTTTTTAAAGAAAACCCTGCAACATACATCAGGAATGAAACATCAAGGAATAAACCAAAGGGTTGATCCTACAGAAGTCTTATTTGCACTGGTAGTCCCACAAAAGTTACCCACATGAATAAGAATTATTTCTATGAGAACAGGTTTGCAGGCTCAGACATCACATGATTACCAAAGACGTTGGTAATCATAGCTTGAGTTTGTTTAGTTAGCAGGATAGGGGGCAACCTGTTGTGATGGTTACTGGGGAAGATGTAGATAGTGAAGACAGATCGGCTCAGCTGATGTGTAATAGAAAGTCTGTGAACATGAGTTCATTTGTCATCAGCAGGAGCTAGACACGTTACGTTCCCATTTACCATAGAGAAGAACAAGAATCGTGCATTTCCCTTTTGGCTATTTTTGTGGTGGTGGAGGTATAGCCAACCCTCCCAAAATGTGACCTCCCTTTTCCCTCAGCACGTAGGCCAATCAGCCTGTTGGATCAGAACAACGAAGTTTTGTCACAAAGACAAGTCGAACTTGACTTCACTACTGACCAAAAATGTAGATGGTACCATGGGCTTTCGTGGGCACAATCCACTTCTTCAGATGAATGGAGCGTACATCTATACAAGCGACATCATCACAGGACCTAATTACATCAGCGGCTCATATAATTGCACATCCTCTAATGGGATCTACACCATCAAGTACCAGCAGTGCCCCTCTGCCATGTGTATTGGCTAAACTGGACAGCCTCGACAACAAAGGATTAATGGACACAAATGAGATATTCGAAATGGCAACACACAGAAATCTGCTGGGGAACATTTCAGCTTCCCCGGGCACTCACAAATGGATCTAAAAGTGACACTACTATTACAAAGCAATTTCAAAAACCAGCTGGAGAGAGAAACTGTGGAACTTGCCTTCATTTGCAAATTTGACACATTTAATCAAGATTTGAGCAAAGACATGAACTGGATGGGCTGCTACATTCAACACCCGAATGACATCAAAAGCTTAAGTATCAGTCACTTAGAGCCCGCTCTGTTAGCCTCATTTAGCACAGGCACTCTAATTGACAAGATTTTTTTCCTTCCCCACGCCCTCTTTTTCTGCTGTTTATTTGTACCTCTGGACCCTTTGCTCCATTCCTCTGAAGAAGATGGCTGTGCCCATGAAAGCTCATGGTACCATCTACATTTTTTGTTAGTCTCTAAAGTGCTGCAGGAACATTTGTGATATTTTAAGTTTTTGCAATTGCAGAGTAACACGGCTACCTCTGTGAGACTTCAGTAGGGCAGTGGTCACCAACCAGTCGATCGGGATCTACGGGTAGATCTTGGAGCGTTTGACAAGAGATCCTGACTGATTTGGCTGGGAGGCTGTCAAGTGCTGGCCCTTTTATTTGCCTGTCTCAGCACTACTGTGCAGCTCCTGCCCTCAGCCTCGGAGCTGCCCACCTCCCTCCACAGAGCGGGGTGGGGAGCAGGGATAGAGGAAGTTTGCTGGCTGCTTTTGGGAGTGGTGCCAGGCTAGAGTAGAGGTGACCCTGCCTTAGTCCCCTGCACCACCACCCAGAAGCCACCTGTGGTAGGTGGTGCCCAGTTGGAATCTGCATTCCAAACCCTGGATCCAGACTCGAACTCTCCTGCACCTCATCTTCCTGCCCCAGGCTCAGCTCAGAACCCCTCCCACACTCCAAATCCGTTAGCCCAAAATCGAAGTCCTCATCCCCCTTCCCTGCATCCCAGCCCTCTGCTCCCAGCCTGATAAAAGTGAGTGAGGATGAGGGAGGATGGAGGGAGCAGGGGCTGGGCCTCAGAGAAGGGGCAGGAAGGGGCAGGAAGGGTGTTTGAGAGAGATTCTGGATTGCACTTAAATTCAAAAAGTGATCTCATGCTTAAAAAGGTTGGAGACCCCTGTGCTAGGGGTATGGAAGGTACCAACATTTACCTTCTCAGTCGAGCTGGCTATGAAGTTGAATGAGAGTCCGTGTCTGAAATTACTCGATAGCAATTCAAAGCCATATTGGTACCCATTGTAGCTTTACACTGTACATGGATTTAGTGAATGTTGGTGCTTATGCTAGTGGCAGAACTGGAAAGAGGCCAGAAACTTGCATAGCTTCAGAATGCAATCTACCAGCATCAGATCAAATAAAGTGGAAGCAAAGCAATAGCGCTAATGGGGATGCTCTGTGGGCATCCCCTCTACTCTGTCTGCATCCCCATTAGCGCTATTGCTTTGCTTCCACTTTATTTGATCTGATGCTGGTAGATTGCATTCTGATGGGGGGGAGGGCCGGTCCCAGGAGACGTTTTGGGATTGTTCCCCAGAGTGGTGATCATATGACTGATGCCTGCCTTCTTGCTTTCTGCGGCTCCCCACCACCCTGTCCTGCCGACCAGATCCTCTGGTCTCCCCCCAACACAGAACAGAGTTGGGGTTACCACCCCCTTATAGAGCAATGAAGACACTGAAAAACGATAGCTCATCGTTTCTAGGGTACAGCACCCAGGAAGCCAACCCCCCAAATGGGACAAAACCCCTCAAAATAAATCTATTTTTCTCTGGGTAAAAGTTTTACACAGTGAAAGTTAATCAGGTAAGCTCCCTTTTTCAATGAAAGAGAGAGATGCATAGTAATTGCTCCCTCTCCAATCCCAGTAACAATTCATCTACACTGGGCCTGATAATGAAAACATGTTTGTTTATCAGCTACAAACAGTAGATTTCAGTGGTTGTAAGTGAA